GGGGGATTGAACCGTGGTCCCTGCGTTTTGCTAAGCTTGTTCTAAGTAGGTGCTTTAGACCACTGAGCCATCTCACCAGCCCGATCCCAACATTTCAAATGGCAATCTTTGTTTTTTATCACAAAAACCGCTAAGAGTGGAAGAGAGGTGGCGTGAATTTAATCCCCAATACCACAAAAGACAAAAAATAATAATTGACATTATTCAAAATCATAAGGTTCTGAGTACAAAATAAGCAGCATTCCCTCCTCTGATCTCAGCCATCCAGCTCCCTCCCCCCACAGCCTCTTGGGTGGCCTTGAAGGAGTTGGGTTTCAAAAGTCTTCCCTCATGAATATTTATTGAGAGTCTAGTTTATGCCAGGGCTGGGCTAGATAGCTAGATAATGGGGACCTAATAGACTAAGATGTCATCTCTCCCCAAGGCTTTAGGGTTTGAGTCACATACATAAGGAAAAATTAGGCCCCAAAATAAAAAAGGATCATTTTCAATTCCAAAATATTTATATATTGGAATTTAATATACTGTCTTTAATGCAATTTAAAAGCTGTAAAAGGCAGGGAAGCTGAGGCACATAAAAATGCATTTGAAATGATTTTCTAAATATTAAAACTCTCTAAAATTGTTCTTCACTAGCCTAATCCCAATCAAAAATAGTAAATTATGAGGAAATGTCTTGAGTTATTTTAGAAAATCCATGTAAGAAAACAGCTGAATGTGGTTTCCGATGTGCCTTTTGAATTTTGTACCAAGTGAATCTATTATCTATTTTTAACTATGTACGTATATTTTTAAATTAGGGTACAATGTTTTAAAAAATCTGTACAGAGGGGAACAGGGATCCCGCTGCCAGCACCAAAAGAAAGGCAGCCTAGGTGTGGAGGACAGGGTCGTGGGGCAGAAGGAAGGGGTTCTTGACTTCTAATATGAGAATACCCCTGACCAGCTTACAACTTCGAGTCATAATTTCTTCTAGGAAGGCCTCCCCAGCCAAGAGTTAGTAACTCTGTCCTCTGTGCTTCAAAGAAAAATGTCTCTAGCAACGTCCTTGTCTGTCTTGTCCTGCTTCTTTCAGGTTCTTCCAGAGCCAGGAAGATGTGTTAGCGTTAGAAGCCCCAAAGGAGGGCCAACAATTCAGTTAGGATTTCAGTTAAATACTTAAGTGTTGGATAACATGGATGAATTCTACTTTTCTTGGCCTGTATTTACACATACTTTATGCATGAATGTAGAGTTCTGCAAAGAGTGTAGGGTTTGTCGATTATCAAATTGTCCGGGGTTGTAAAATCATAAACATTATAAATATATTATTTTTATGAAAAAAAATTTTTTCAAAAATTTTCGATACTGTTAGAATATCTTATCGATAATAGAAAATGTTTAAACAATTCTGGCAAGAATTGCTATCAATTCTATCATCTCTGCACCTTTTTTTTTTTTTTTTTTTTTTTTTTTTTTTTTTTTTTTGACTTTAGCTAGTACCTGAGTCTTGGCTACCACCTAACTTTGAAATGCCTTAAAACGTTCAGATGTTGGCTAATTAATGATCGATGTCATACTTCAAACGTCGCAAGGCAGTCTCAAGTCTTCATGAGCTTTTCCCAGCACTGGTCGGAAGTATCTACGCGGGAGCCGGACAAGGAAAATAAGACACAAAAGACGACAGGAAGGAGAAGGCAAAGGGCTTAAGACGCGATACACATAATCTACCAATTCCTCAGGATGAATTACTGTAAATGTTATGTATCTCAAACAGTTACTAATTTTTTCTTTTTAAGCTAATCCAAAAAAGACGTCTGTGTAGTTCCAGGCCTGTTCACCTGGCTGTTGAGGAACTTTTAAGAAACAACCAAACTGTAAAATAATTACTTAATTTAAAAACACCAAACTGCACACCGGATGATGCCACGCAACTTGTGATCTGGAGGGGTTTTTTTTTTGGGGGGGGAGCTTTATTTCAGGTGAAATAATCAAGTGTTAGATGGAATTAATTAATGACTGGCCCTCCCGAACTAACCTGCGCTTCCCAAATGCCCCACGACCCCTGAACTTTCCCAGCGACGAGGAGCCGAGGGCTCCAAGACCCCCGGGCGCAAACCCGAGGCAGGCACCCCGGCGGTGGGCAGCGTCGTCCGGCGGGAGCGCGAGAGCCACGCACGCCCCTCTCTATCCGGGCTTTTCAACTCGCTAGGAGGCGGCGCCGGGACGCCCGGCCGGCTCCATGACGCAGCCACGCACACAGCAGCTATTGGCTCACCGGAACATAACTATCCCGGAACCCGACGCTCAAGGTGTGCACAGAGCGGAAAAGAATTGCTGACGTACCACCCCTCCCTGTGACTGGAGGCGGAAGTTGAGGGAAGTGATTCCAATGGGGGAACTTTGTCTGAGTAGCACTTTCCTGTCCGAGACTCCGCCCCCGCTGGAGGGGCTCCACTTCGAGATTCAAGATGGAGTCGTTGAGTCGAGCTGGGCAGGAGATGAGTCTAGCGGCTTTGAAGCAACACGACCCCTACATCACCAGCATCGCAGACCTCACGGGCCAGGTCGCTCTGTACACCTTCTGCCCCAAGGCCAACCAGTGGGTGAGTGAAGCCTGTCTGCTGAGAACTCCAGCCCCGCCGCCGCCTCTTAAAGGGGCCACGCAGGCTGCCGGGGTAGGGGCCAGGCAGGAGGCCAGGGCGGTGGAGACCAGCCAGGGACTGGCCTGCAGCCCAGCGAGAGCCCGAGAGCTGTCTGAAGCTCTCGGGGTTGGGGGAAAAGCGATCGAAGAAGGCAAGACACGTCTCAGGAAAGGGCCGATGAAGGAAATGATTGGAGCAGGATCGATTCCAGGGGATCTGGTTTGGGGACATGGGCGACCTGTCTTCTTGACAGTGGGATTGGGGGATCGAGACCGGTGGGATCAGAGAGGGGTCTGAAAACTTAGGTGTGAGGCTTTGAGGATCGGACCAACTATGTATACCTGATGTATAAAATAAACTTCCCTCCTCTCACCCCAGCGGCGTGAGAGCCCCCTTCGCAGAGGTCATTCGGATTTGAAGCTTGAAATCCAATTAGTTTCGAGTCTTTAGAAAGGAACTGTAGTCTGGCATGAATCGAACTCCCTTCTATTTGCAGAGTTTTGGAAAAGATTTCCAGGCACTTAGGGAGAAGGCATCTATGTTAATTGAATTCCCTGGAGGCTTTTTGTAGGGAAAAGAGATCAGTGATGTCACCTCTGAAGGCTCCCCAGACTGAGTACTTTCTGGCTTTTGTGCACCAGAGGGAAAAGTTACGGTCTGTCTCCTGACTCCTTAGGCCTCGCTTGAAGCTTCGTTAGTTGTTTATAGAATTTATTGTTTTCTTGTAATTGACCTTTCCCCATTAGAACTCATTCGGCTCTAGGCTTTGCACTTAGGAAATAATCACCAAGCGTTAGATGGAATTAATCAATGACTGGCCCTCACGTCTCAGTAAGAAATGACCTCGTTAACAAAACTTTGAAAGATTATAACATATAGGTCCATAGATTGTATTTATAGTAATTTTATGAAAATCGTTTGACATTTATGAGCAGTTAATTCACGTGAAGTTTTCATAATTATCGTTCCTTTGTCTCCGGGAAAAGGAGATCAAGAAGCTACTAGAATAAAATTATAGGGCTGGGGAGATAGCTCAGCAGTCTAAGCACGTGCCTGGCAAGCGCTGGGACCCAAGTTCAATTCCAGGGTGCATTGTGCTGGTCCTGAAACCAGGCATGGTGGCTCCTGTCTTAAACTGTGCAGTGAGATAACTGTATCCAATAAATAAACTTTAAAAAAATAAAATTAGGGATTTTTGAACTGAGTGTGGTGGTGAAGGCCTGTAATCCCAGCACCGGGGAGGCTGAAAACAGAAGTATCACAAGCCCAACCTGTGTAGTGAGACGTTGTTCCAAATACATAAATGAAAACAAAAAAAAGACTGTTGTCAATATTGCCAAAGAGTATTGAATTACTTTTCTTGTTCTGTACATACATTTGTGAAATATGGATTGCAGACACATCAGGACTTATTTTTGAAAAGTCTCTTAGGGATATGGTTTTTGGTTTTTTGAGACAGTCTCGCTGTAGTTCAGGCTGGCCTTGGACTCCTTATGTAGTACACTCCAGCCGCAAACACCCAAGGAGCCTCCTGCCTCAGCGTCCTTAGTGCTGGGTTTATGAGCAAGCACTTGCATGCCCAGCCTTTTGGTTTTTGGGTTTTTTGAGACAGGATCTTGCTCTGCAATTCGGACTGGCCTTTTTGCTTACTTTTGTAGCCCCCAGGCTGATCTGGAACTCTTAGAGAATTTCCTGGCTCAACCTCCCAAGTGATGGGAATACAGGCAAGCAGGCGCCACCATGCCCAGTTCCAATCCCCACCCCCCCATGTGGGCCCAGGGGGCACACCCAGGCAACTGTTTAGACCACAAGGCATGTGGGGCCAGAGATAGGGGCCAGGGCTTGAACTTGGGTCCTTGTGCTTGCCAGGTAGGAGCTTATGCTTCTGAGCTGAGTCCCCAGTCCCTTGCCCAGTTTAAACGATTTTTATTTCTAATTTATTCCCAAAGACTTTCAACATTTTAGAATTGTTGAAATGGGGAGTTCTGTTTTAAATGTGAAATAAAACAATCCAAGTTGAAAAATAAGCCGTGTTTATTCACATCATGGCCCATAGTACATAGCCTAAATCTTTTTTTCTCTTCATTATTTAGTGAGTTGTAACTTTGCCCAATGTTTTGGGTGGATAATTTTTCTTTTACTGTGAAACAACTGATTATCTGTTTCTTATGCTAAGTAACATTTTAAAGTCAAAAAAAGCTTCTGAATCCTTAGTAAGAAGGAGAAATTTCATGATACTTAAGCCAAGGCAATACTCCTGGAAGAAATCAAGACAATTTTTTTTTTTTAATCTTAACAAATTCAGTTTGATATGACTGGGACCAGGAAGATGGCTCAGTAGAATAAGCGCTTCCCTGGCAAGTGCAAGGGCCGGAGTTCAATCCTTGGTTTAGGGGGAAAAAAATTGATATGATTTACTGTACAGATTTGATAGTTTTTTATTACATTAAAATATTAGGTCTAATCTAGGTTATAAACTGCAGCCTAGTAGGATTATTTGGTTTTTATTAATTTTCCTCCTTAAAAATCTGCAGTAATGACTTGAGATGAAATATCCATGATTCTTTCATTTCCCAGTAACAAAAAAATCCGTGATTCCTCAACATAGTTCTGAAAATAACAAACTTTTGTTTTTTTGGTTGGTTTTGTGTGTGTGTGTTTATAAAAATAACAAACTGTTTAATAGTTTTTCTCAATTAATGACAAAATATGTGGATACCAGACTCCCTCAGTGAGGAATCAAACTGTCCAATAACAAAATTCCTTATTGTTTTTTTTTCTATTAAGTTTGGTAAACTTCACTCTTTTGGGGGTGGGGGGGGTGGGCAGAACCAGGTATTGAACTCAGGCCTTTGTGCTTGCCAGGCAAGCGCTTGTTCTGTTGAGCCATCTCCCTGGCCCCTAAGTTTGGTAAACTTTAAAAGTAAAAAAATTGACATAGGACATTGCTTTAAAATTTAGAAATCTATCTAAAACATTCTCGCCTTTTAAAAGTTCAGGCTAGGTAGATGTAGTGGTGCATGCCTATATTAGGAAGCTGAGAGACAGGTGGACTGCCATGAGTTCAAGGCCAGCTTGAACTACATAGTGAAACACTGTGTCAGAAAAGAAAAAAGAAAAGTTGGGCCAGCCAGATAGCTCAGCACACTAAAGCACCTGCTTAGGCAGGTGCTGGAACTAGGGTGCCTTCCCCAGCATGCTGTGTCAGTCCTGCCCCCTGGGCACACTGAGATAGCAAAAGACGCGTGCCTATAATCCCAGCGTTTAGGAGGCTAAAAGCAGGAGGATTACAATGAGCCTGGTCTGTGCAGTGAGACCCTGTAGACCCTGTACTAAATATATTTTTTTAAAAATGTTAAGGCTAATTCTGCCATTCTCACCTTTACTAGTTAGAAAAAATGCTGTAGATGTAGACATGCTGCTAGATTGACTATTACATAATCTTAGCATGCATCAATCGTGAACTGGTAACAATTTGTAGAGAGACTTCATCTGTTCAAAAGTGATTAATTTGACAGTAAATAAAACGTGTTGATCTTGAACATGAATCATTTCTTCTCCACTGGGACTCAGGGGTTGGATCATTGGAGAAAAACACTGATTGACTCATTATCTGTTTTAGGAGAAGACCGATATAGAAGGGACCTTATTTGTATATCGAAGGTAAGTGTGTATGTCAGTGTTTCTGAGCCTCATAGTGAGGGGCTGAGGATGTAGCTCATTGTTAGAGTGCTTGTCCATGCTGAGGCCCTGTGTTCAGTTGTTAGCACTGCAGATAAAGTACAGTGCTTACCTAAGTCATCATAAGTAATACCATGTGAAATGGTTCTTATCTGTTCAGATTTTGTCTTTGGCACCCTCCTGCTTGTCCCTTCCAAGTTTTCATCCATCCCTAGTTGTGAGGTCCTAACCTAGTTATTTCTCTGGTCTGATCCTTCCTTTGATTTAGAACAAGACCATTCCAAAAAGTGTGAATCATATGCTTGCCTCTCTTCTGTCATGTTGAAAAGAAAACAATATACCTCTGAGGCTCATGTGTTGAGTAGTTCTGTCAAGTAATATGGTGGAGAGGTCAGGTCCTCTTCTATGCTCCAACTCGTGGAGGCTTACACGAAATTAATTCTAAGGAAAGAAGAGTCAAGAATCTCTTTAGGAAGTATAAGGACATTTTGTGCGTCTGGGATAAATGCCCAACAGGATATCAGAACATGACTTGGCAGGAGTCAGTAAAAGTGTGGGTTTGACGTTAAAAAAATGAATAAATAAAGCTGAATTCCAGGTACATTGCTTGTGTTTACTTTGGGTCCAGGCCTACATCATGCTAAATTCTTCTTGGTCAGGAGACTGTTCTCTTTATGTATGCCATGGAGAAACAAATGAGAAACTAAAGTATTGGTACATGTAAGACCTGGTCAAAGGAGTGTGTGCTAAATCTCACTGAAACAGGAGCTAAAGGCATATCTTGTTGTAGGAGTCCATTGATTTTCCATCTAACTGAGGAGAACTATATAAAAAGCTGTGTAGTATTAAAGAAAATTATTGGGGCCAGGGAGATGGCACAGTAGATTAAGCGCAAGGGCCTGAGTTCAATCCCTGGTTCTGGGAAAAAAAAAAAAAAGAAAGAAAAAATTAGTCATGTAATAATAAAGAGTCATTATAGCCAATTCTGTAACCTTTTTTTGTTTTTTTGGTTTTTGCGGTACTGGGGATTGAACTCAGAACCCTGCACTTGCCAGGCAGGCACTTATTCTACTGAGCTATCTCCCCAGCCCTATAACATTTAAAGTAAATGAATAGTACTTATAAATATCTATACTGTGTGTCTAGGATGCATTTGTGAAAGCAAAACAAAAATCCCATTTGTGTGGATCTTGTATTGTTCAGGGAGAAAGGCAGTATTAAAAAAGTAAGTGGTGTGGATAAAAAGAGAAAAGTTAGCATTACTGAGGTTGAGAACACTTAAAAGGATAATTCAGGTACACGCAGTGAGACGGTGACATTTGGGTACATGCTCGCTAGAGGTGAGATGGTTGTTTGGATTTGGGGGCAGTGTTCCAGGCCTGGTCTTGAGGTGTAAACACATCTGCATAGAGAGTAGCAAGAAGCCCAGAGTCACCGGAGCAGAGGAAGCAAGGAAAGAAAGCTAGGAGATGAAGTGGGGTGGGATGGAGGTGCCCGTCAGGTAGGCCTTGTTGGCCTTCCGCCTTTACCCTGAGAAACTGAGTTCATCTGGATAGAGGAGGTGTATGTGTGAGCTGACTTGCACTGTTTGTTGTACAGTCCACTAGTGTATTCTTTCTTATTTCAGATGAAAATTAGTATGTAACTTTGTTGTAGATTATAAGGTAATTTGGATTTTTCTCCTATTAAATTTAAGGTCAGCTTCACCCTACCATGGTTTTACCATTGTAAATCGACTGAATATGCACAATCTAGTTGAACCAGTGAATAAAGATTTGGAATTTCAGCTCCATGAACCATTTCTTCTGTATAGAAATGCCAGCTGTAAGTATATCTATTTACATTTAATATTAAATGGCTTTGTTTTCACGCATTATTTTGGGGGTTTCAAATTATAATATAAAATATGACCTATACTTTTTTTTTCATTTTTTTAAAATTTTATTTATTTATTTATTTATTTTGTGTGTGTGTGTGTGGCCAGCTCAGCCCACCAGGGGGCAGGGCTGGCTGGCATGTGGTGCTGGGGGATTGAACCGCTGTCCCTGTGCTTTGCTTGGCTTAGTTTGTTCTAAGTAGGTGCTTTAGACCACTGAGCCATCTCACCAGCCCTTTTTTTTTTACATTTATAAATGAATTATAAATGGTATCTTTTTATATCAAACTTTTTTTTAAACATTTATTTATTTTATGTGTGTGTGTGTGTGTGGCCAGCTCAGCCCACCAGGGGGCGGGGCTGGCTGGCATGTGGTGCTGGGGATCGAACCGCGGTCCCTGTGCTTTGCCAAGCTTGTTTCAAGTAGGTGCTTTAGACCACTGAGCCATCTCACCAGCCCCTCAAACTTAACACTGATATATAGTAGTGTACTGTTATTTTTAGTTAACTGTGCTAACCAGTTTATTAGCATTATATTTCTGTTTATAAAAATAAGTTTCACTCCTTATTTTGGCACTGAAAGGAGGAGCACTGAGCTCTTGGTTGCCCCTGCCAGCAAAACTTAGTTTGGAAGAAACAAGTGGAAGCAAATACTGATGCTTCTTTCCAGAGGGAAAGTATTGCCTTCACCCTGGATAGTGATATTTGTTGATTTTTTTTTTTAACTGAATGACTACTTGGTGCCTGCACTGTGCCCCAAAGCTACTGCGTTCTAATGTTAGAGATGACCAAGGGGGGCAGGGCAGTGTCATTAAGTCACCAGTGACTCAGAGATGGGGGTCTTTCTCTGCTTGTTTGAAGGTCTTTTCAGGCATTTTATAGGCCCTGATAATGATTCATGCAGTCATCAAAACTAGAGCAGCCCTTTAAAGAAAGTACAGTACAAATTGTTCCTCAGCCTACAATGGTTTCCTTCTTGAGAAGCCCAGTGTATGTTATAAGAGCCCTTAACACCGCCAGATGGGGTGGCTTGACAGCACAGTACCCTGTTGACTGTCAAGAGTTTCTTTCCTCTTGTGATCACATGTCTGACAGGGATCTATGCTGGTGCTTCTGTCCAGGATCCCAGGACGGTGGTGTACCACATGTCACCAGCCTGGAAAAAGATTATGAATTCTAAGTACAATTTTTACTGAATGCACATCACTCCTGCGCCTTTGGAGAGTCAAAACCTAGGTTGAATCATGTTAAGTAGGGGACCACCTGTACAGAAGTGTTCACTGGGTTCTGGTATTTCAGGATGGGTATTAAAAATATATAGATGATTGAGGCAGCGTGCAATCCAGTTGTTCTGGCATTGACTTTCAGGGTATCAGGATTCATTCCAGTGGCAGAGCAAGTACGCTCACCAAAGGATATTGTTGGAGAAATTTATTTCTAAATTTTTTTATTCATTTTAATGAGAAAAAAGATAAAGCAATTAAACAGTTTCAAAACAGGTTAGTAGGGCAGTTACAATAATTAGTACAGTGCATATTGTTGTCTTCATAGTAGTTAGAGGACAAGATGCAGAAACATTTTGTCTAAACAATCTTAATACAAACCTTTCTTCTCAATAAACTAAGAGAAAGTAGCTGTATGCCTATCATAACTATCTTATGTATACATACATTTTTTTTTCTTTTTTTTTTTTTCAACAAAACAGTATTTTAAGTTAGTAACACGTGACACAAGGTTGCCTAGTGACTAAGAGCTGACCTTAACCAGACAGGATGTTTATCTCAGGACTGAGGTAGCTTGTTTCTCTTAGGCACTGAGGCCTAGTTCCCCCTACACACATTTGATCCATTTCCTAGCTTCTGTGGCTCCCAACATGGCGGAAGATCACAAGTTTGAGGCCACTCTGGGAAACTTAATTTAAAATGCAAAAACAGACTTAAGGATGCAGCTTAAAAATACCCATACTGTGAAAAGCAGTACTGCTAAGGTATACGCATGAGTGTGAGAGAGAGTGTGAGAGTGTGTGTGTAGCTGCTAACTATGTTATACATTCTGTAGGTTCCTGAGAAGAGCCCAAATTCTTCCTTACTTATTAAGTAAATGAAATAGGACCTATCTTTTTTCAGTGAGCTATTTTTCAAATTATTACCTCTCAGATTTTAAGTTCTGTAGACATACTGGATATGTTTTAATACCTGTAAGTTTAGGGGCCAGGGAGATGGCTCAGTAGAGTAAGCGCTTCCCTATCAAGAGCAAGGGGCTGAGTTCAATCCCCAGTTCCGCCGTAAAAAAAAAA